TACAAAATTAATTATATATTTAATAATTAATAAAACTTAACATATACGCACAAGTTATATTTAATTTTAAATTTAATTTAACCTTAAGACCTCAATTTTTATTATTCAAAATTTGTCAATGTATATATAAAAAAAACATTACTAAAAGGGCCCTTAATTGTTGTTGAAAATATTCAAGGCCAATGAAAAGTATAATATTGTCACAAAATTATAAGATGAGTTGAGATGCTTATGAATTACTTAAATTTGTTTTCAACTAAATTCAACATGAAACAAGCTTTCACAAAGTGAGTTTACAATGATGAAAGTAAATTTTTTAGTCAATTTTAGATTTAGTAACCATCCTTAACATCAATGGATATATAATTAGTAACTATCCTTTTTACTTCTTTTAGTAATTAATGGTAAAAGTAATAAAAATATTGATTAATCAACAATAATAATTTTTTTTTTAATTTTTGTACATAATAATAAAAGTTAAATACTAATTTTGATTTTTTAATGTTAAAATTTTACCTAATTTTAAACATTCAATTTTTTTATATATTTTTTTGTTTCTCATCATGTTATAGATTTATAATATCACATACTATTATAATTATAATATTTTTTAATAGTAATATAAATATTATTTTAGTTCTAACTTAAGAAGAAGAAGAAGAAGAAGAAGAAGAAAAAAGTAGCTGCCTACCGCTAAAGAGAAAAGTTAAAAAGCAGAAAAGTTAAAAGGGTCGATCCGGGTCTTATGACTCAATAGTTCGACTCCAAACTTTAAGTGTTTGAGTGAGGTGGTCGAAATTTCAAACTTTATTATCGTTGTGAACTCCATCAAAAAATAACATGATGATCGTGCGCCTCATTTAAGGAGTGAAAAGTTTATTTGATTTAAGGATCAATTGTTAACAATTAATTCATTAACTTCTTAATCATTATTTTTGTCAAAAAAAAAAAAAAGTTAAAAGGAAATTCAATGATCACACAGACATATAGAATCGTAAAGAGGAAATGATCTTCGATATTCGGCAATTCAATTCACGTGCCTATGTATGTACAGCCTTAATTTGCTTGGTTTGGAAGCTTCAATCCTCCACTTTATGTCCATACCAGTTAAAACATTATCTTCAGATAACTTTGTTTCTCATATTAATTTGACTTTACTCGTATTTTTCCGGCGAAGGGTCATTTCAACCCACTGTTTTAGTGGGGTTTTTGGCTGTAACCTATCCAGCTGTACCAACGGATCGAATCCCTTAAGAGCACATGACGCTGTTTCTTTCATTGCCTATTTTCAAAAGAAACATGATGCTTTTTTTGAAAGCACAAAACTTTAGAACTCTTGGGGGCAACTTGGAGAGAAGGGGACAATACGAGCAAGATGTGACTGCCCACCAGTAGCGCAAGATGCTGTTTATCGCAACCATTGTGCATATCTCAATAAACGGTGACCCATATTCATTTTTATATGTATTTTTATATGTATATTCTTAATTTTTATATGAATATTTTTTAATTTTTAAATTTTTAAGTTGGATAAAAAATACATATTTTTTATAAATTGAAAGATAAAAATATACATATTATTAGAACTAATTTAAGAAATTAATTAATAAAAAACTAAAAGGTATATTTTTATAATTGAGAGATTAAAA